GCAAATTTCCATTTTGGCTGAGCGAAACGGCACGTAAATTCCCATTGGTTGATCGAAATGGCACATAAATTCTTATTGGCTGCAAAGCGGACGCGCCTTAGAAAAAAATTAAACACAAAAGAAAGCACAGCAAGGCAGATGCTTCGTCATGGAAGCTGCGGAACCGGTGCGCCGTAAAAAAGAAGACGTGGCGCGCTGCTTGCAGGAAGGTTTTCGCATTCCTACACGCAAGTAGTCCTAGGTGTCTTTGTTTAGTTTTTCATGGACACGCCCTTGTAATCTGCTTTGAGGTGCACAGAGAAACAGAGTCCGCATACTCGGATCCTCTTCGATGGTCATCGTCGCGACGGTGCGCGAAGAAACAAAACTCGTCGCTTTCGCGTTCGGTGAGCGTCGGAGGATCAATAATTATTTCACGTTACTGCAAAATTTCGGAATGTAATGCACGTGGTCCTTACCGGTCAAACGAAATCCCCGCCGAAGGACAACTGGTGCGACTTTTGCGGCCGCTCACACGGCAAAGCCCCATCACGGCAACGCGCGACGCCACACTTTCATTTCGCCACCTAACCGCCCTCGCACAAAAAAAAAAAAAAAAAAAACATTGGTTGTTACAAGATTTGCGCCAGGCTTTTCGGTGTTTATAAAATCTTGTTGATGTTTACATTCTCATTGTGTACGTTTTTATGACTCCTATCGAAAAACCCAGAATAAATTTTCCCTATCTGGATCATGGAACCTAGAAAAATGTTTAAACATGTTCAAACATTTTTCTACGTGTACGACTTTCTTCTTGGTGAAGACTTGCTCATTTTTAAATTCTTTGGTCTGGAATCTAGATTTCAGGTTTCCAGAAAGCAGACTTGGGAAGTAAGCTGTTTCAAGTAACGGAATACTGGTAATCCGGCCGTTACTTTTTCAAGTAATATTGTAATTGCCACGTTACTTTGTTTCGGAAGTAATTTGTAATGTAATTTCGTTAGAAAATATTGGAAATGGATTACTTTAATTACTCTTTACTTTTTTAAAAAATATGAGCATAATACAACAGCGTAGACTTCCCACCTCCCCGATTTGGGGGGGGGGGGGGGGGGGGGTGTTTGCGCAAGTTTTTTTACACCGGCAATTATCAGTAGTTTATTTTAGGAGTACATTTTCCAGCGTATGTAGTATATCGCCATGTGCCCGTCGCTGTGTGTCAATGTCAATCACCGTGCAAGCGCAGCCGAGCATTCCTCGCCGGTACCACGGTGCATGCGCCAGCGAGCACAAAGCTGAAAAACAAAATGCTTGTGCCAGCTGCGAAGTTGTGGGGGTAGAACCCAGGCCCCTGTGCTTCTGAAGCAGTAATCCGCTCGGCCACGAGTCTTTTCTCTTTAATACATGGAAATAAAGCCTGCGGCTGAAGAATATGAGGTCAAACACTCATTAAAAAGACAACTAAGGACCATTGCCCGGGGGGGGGGGGGGGGGCGGGGGTGGGGGGGGGGGGGCTCCCCCCCTCCCTTTTCTCCCTCTTCCGTAGTCTACGTCTATGACCCAATATATGGTGCACGGATGGAGACACGATCGGTGAGCCACCGCTTCGAGTCGGACCTGTGCATCCAATTCAATCAATCAATCAATCAATTTCTTTTTATTCTCCAGAAATTCTGGAGGTGAGCCTAGGCAAAAAGCTGTTCAAGAACAGCTTTACTGGGCACAGGCTCCCCCGTTTACAGGCAGCAGCATTCAATAGAGAGAAAAAAATGAATACACAGTACGCACACATATAGATACGTGAAAATAAATACTACAATTCCTTTAAAAAATTTAAAATACAACAAAAACCAACTAAATAAAATACGACAAGATGTCTTTCTTGCTAGCCGAATATATATCTATGTTCTTGGTGAGACATGTATTTAACAAAGATGGAAGAATATGGCGCAGGGATTGCAGATTATATTTTGTACGTGACCGAGGGATAGCCCAAAACTCTGTACGACGTGTGCTGGCGATGCTGAGGCTTTCAGTTAATTGCGAAATACGATTTACGAATTCAATAACTGATGCCGGTGCAAAACGAATGGAACACATCAGGCGGTATTCATACAAATGCTTAATAGGAAGGATATTATACTTAGTAAACAGAGGTTCAGTGTGATGAAAATAATGTACTCCCGCAATGTGTCGAAAGACCTTTTTCTGGAGTAAAAATAATTTATTTATATTTGTTTTAGTTGTAGTAGCCCAGATGAGATGGCAGTAATTCAAATGGAACTGAAATAATGCGTGAAATATTTTTAACTTAACATGAAGTGGCAAAATGCCACGACAACGAGCAAATACACCGACAATACGAGACAGTTCAGAAATCAAAAAGTTTACATGAGCGTCCCAGGTCACATGTTCCGAAAAGTATACACCTAATATTTTGTGCTGGTTAACAATTTCTATTTGCGAATTGCCAAGTAGAATTGGGCTACGAGTTAAGATAGACTTATTTACGGATCTAAAAATAATTGCTTTGCATTTCTTGGCATTAATCCTGAGCGCGTTAGCCTCCGACCATAAAAAGAGTTCTGAATAACAGAATTTGCGCGACATATTAATTCGTCGGCACTATCCGCAAAAAAAAAAAAAGGCTTTTATCATCGGCATAAATGATGAACTGTGTTTGGTTATCAACGCTTAGAATGTCGTTGATGTAAACATTAAACAGAAAGGCCCCAAGTATACTTCCTTGAGGTACCCCACAAGGAACGTCTTGAAAAGAGGAAGCATGATTATTAATGACAACAGACTGTTTACGATCTTTTAAGTAGGACTCAATTAGCTTATGGGGTAAGCCACGAACACCACAGTAGTCTAGTTTTGCCAGCAATGTTTTATGATTTAACACATCGAAAGCTTTAGAAAAGTCGATGAACACGCCTAATGTAAGCAACCTTTTTTCTATACCTTGCAATATAATTTCTTTTTGCAGCAGTAAAGCTGTCTGGTGGATTTACCTCTCCTAAATCCAAATTGAAATTATGTTAATACAGACCGTTTAAGAAAAAAAGTCATTGATCGAGGCGCATAAAGATAAATTTCTCAAGTGCCTTAGAAAACACAGGTAGCACCGATATAGGCCTGTATGTTGGTGACAACGTTTAAGTCACCACCTTTATGTATTACTGAAACTTTAGCCAATTTCATATTAGTGGGAAATTTGCCTGACGATAAGGACATGTTATATATGTGTGTTAGGCAGGGTACGATGATATCCATCACGAATTTGACAGGCTTCAATAGTAGTTCATCAACATCTGTGCTTTTACTGTTCTTAAGTGCTAGAAAAAAATGTTAAAAGCTGAGGGCTCACTGGATTAGTCATACGTCTACCACCACGAGATCATGCTCCCATCCTTACGGGCATACAGCGGAGTCAGGTGATGTAAGCGAGGCGTCTACTCACAGGGAAACATAAAACTGCTTTCCGCCGTAATATTGAAATCAGCATATTAATTTACGCGGCAATTAATTCATTTACTAAGGCAATTTGTCCCTGTAGAATTCTAATTTAAAATAAGCTACTTTACTACCACAGCGTGAATACAATAGATCTAACCCGCAGTTGCTAAACGTTTTATGTATTTCTGTGTGTTTTTACAGTGTGGCATAACAAAATAAAAAGAAGTGCGTGTGTACAACTTTAATTTGTGCTCTTGGTGCGCGAGAGCGAGCGCTTCCCTAACAAGTGAAGAGTGCGCCTGCATCTTTGGTCGGCGCTCAAAAGTGCACAAGCCTGCGGGCACCCATAGGTGCATTGCCTCAGAAAGCTGTCTCAGAAAGTCATCTCGAAACAGCCATTTCGACAGTAGAGTTGCCTTAGTAAATGCATTGCAACAGCAGTGAAAAAAAAAAAAAAAAAGAAGACGTGAGCGTATAAAAAAAAAAATTAGACCGCGTCCGGCGCAATGAATTAACCAAATGGTATTACAAGAAAAAAGGAATACGTCGAGCATAAAAACCATGTTTCGGACGGACATCCTTTATCGAGTGATGGTAGAAGAGGTGCCAGAGACACTGGTACCTCCGCCCGAAACTTTAGTTTGACTTCCGTCGCCGTTCTTTTTTTTTTTTTTTTTCGACGTGGCATGTGTACTTTAGAACAGGACTTAACAGCTCTTCGCGCATGAAGCACCTCACGTTCATCTGTAATGCCACGTTTACCGAGGAATACAGTAAACATATAAGGGTCCATAGGTTATGGCGATCCCTACTTGTGGTCACCGTATCAAACTGCTTAAAATGCAATTTTTTCTCCGCCTGGCATCGAACCCGACGCTCCCCCCATTGCGCCACCGGCGCTGCTTTGCTCAGTGTTGCGGCAGACGCTATTGGTACTCGTGTTGCCACAAACGTACGCAAGCTCGATCACGCTCACAAAGTCCGGGGAGCACAAAATGTGTGAATGCAATCCATACGATTCGAATGGGGCTGATGTGGGGCAGGCCTAGCTCGAACTACACGTTTTGCACTCAACACATCCCGTGCTGCCCGCTCTCTGTCAGCACCATCAAGCTCGTGTAAATCCTTTCCCATTTGTACGTCCATTTATAGACACAAATGCACTAAAACAACGCCGTTTTTTTTGTTTTTTTCACGTCTGATATATTTGTTTTATTATTATTATTATTATTATTATTATTATTATTATTACGTGCCGCACTTTGCAGCAGTTTCATTTGTCTGCGCACCACTCTCGCATGCGTGTACTGTTCGGCTGGTAGAAATAATGTTAGCCAAAAGCCCTGGGTGATGACTGGGACAATATCAGAGGTTAATATGTTACTTCTGAGTAGTGTTTTATGCCCGTATGCTCAGACGAAATGCCCCCCCCCCCCCCTTTCCCCTCCTTCGAAAGGACCCCCGTTGCGAATTGTTACATACATTGAAGCCATGGCTCGTGCAAGCCAAAACGCGTGCACAGAAGGCGGTAATCAAAAGCGCGTTGCTGTTGCCACTCGCAGGGATACGGAACGTACAGGATCAATGCCTACTACCGACGTCTCTACATCGAGGAGGGGAAAATTACAACGGTAGATATAGCAGCTTCACCTACCATTTTCAGTGTGTCTAATACGTATACACTGTGACCCTTGCCACCACATTTCAAGCAGTAGTGCAGGCTACTACTCGGTGTGGTCATTTTTGCATGCCTTATCTGAATCCGGGAAGACAACTCCAAGTTATTATAATGCAATTAAATGCAAAGGTGCAAGCGAGCTGGAAAAAAAAAATGACGAAAATAATTCCTGGAAAAGGGGAACAAGAAGGACAAAGGACAAATACACATCTCCAAACACAGCTAAGATTTGTGTTTGTCCTTTGTCTCTCTTGTTCCCCTTCTCCAGGGATTATTTTTGACAACTCAAAGTGCCGCACTACACAGACCTGCGTATCTTGCAATATAGTTTTTTTAGGCTTTATATATGTTTTAAAAACGGCCAAGAAAACAACAGTATTTCTGTTTGTGCAGGTGTTACATGGACAGGGGTACATGGGGTGGGGGAGGCTATCTTTGACGATGTCACGGTAAAACTGTATCAAAAATTGCCCACGTAGCACGGGAACGTTCTGAGAACATTTCGGGAATGTTAATTCAAAAGATCGTAGGCGACATTCTCGGAACATTCTATCAACGCTGTCAGAATGTGATGCAGGCACTTATCGCTACATTCGGGGAATGTTTTCTCATGGACATTCTTAGAACCTCCTGAAAATGACATAGAACAATACCAGGGCATTCAGTCAACATTCAAATATTCTAACAAGGCTCTAAGAGCGTTCTCAGAACATCCAAAGAACTCCTGTAACTTTCTTGAAATGTTGTAAATTGATGCAGGGGCATTTTTTCAATCTCCTCAGAACGTGGCTTGAGTATATCGCTACATTCAGGAAACACTCTCTGGGGTTAACAAAGATTCCACAATTACGGCTTGCTTAGGCTACAGCCCCTATGAGGCGCACTACATATATGGCTGTGATAAAGCTCCTCACAGGGCGATATTTATTAATCGAAACAGATTTTTAGAAGGCGCAAGCTCAAGCTAGCCGCTCTCCCGGCGCACCAGCTTGAGCATACACTAATGAAAGTTTACTCTTACCTTTCACTTGACTTCTCATTTAAAATGTGCAGTATACATAACGAATTGCTCACTCCGAGCTTAAAAACAGATACGCATGACATCCCACATTCAACTGGAAAAACCTTTTTTAAACTTTTGGACCCCAGATACACAAAAAAATCTGGTCCACTCAAAACTGCCCCTTTCCATCCATAGTGAGCGCCAAGTTCATTACCAAGTTTTGAAACCCATTGCTTTTCTCGTACACATTATATCAAATTCCTCAGTAGATTCATATAAGTTAAAACTGATCCCTTATGCTAAGTTTACAGAAACTCAATTTGCATATTTTGGCACAAAATGGCATATAGTGGATGGTGTTTCGAGCCACAGAAACCGTGAGAGGTCCGTCAGGTTGGCTTCACCTGCGAAAATTCTAGGAATGTTCGCAAGCGAACGTTCCAATAATGTTGCGCATGTGAATATTCGGAGGGGAACGTTCCGAGGACATTGTGCATACCAATATTCGCCAACGTACGTTCCTAGAATATTGAGCAGCTTACCTTGTAGGGAATGTTAGCATACGAACGTTCCTAGAACGTTCCGAACGGGGTTTTAAAGGGATGGTGAACCAACATTTGGATTTCAAAAAAAACAATGCTGGAGATGTAGGCGGGACGCTACAATCCCTACAACACTACTAGTAAGGCGATATCTTAAATGGACGGCCGTATTTTTTGGAAAAAGAAGTCGAGATTGAACCAGGCCGACGAGGCGCGTGACCGTCAAGATACCTAGCTTCCTCTTCTCTTCGCTTCGCTCCCTCAAGGCAGCGAGGCGGAGAAGACGCGAGGCCGTTTCCTCTCCTTCTCGGAGAAACATGACGTCAACATTCCTGCCAAACGCGCCTCTTTTTTTGAAAAATACGGTCACCCGTTCGAGATATCGCTGTATGAGTGATGTTTTGGTGTTTGTAGCATCCCGTTGCACGCTTTTGCCGCGTGTTTTGGGGAATCCAGATTTCGGTTCAGCATCCCGACCCTTCAACATATTGAACATCCAGGAAATGTTCGCACGACATTGGCCACTACCTAGGTAGTGATACACCGGGCACACCTACGAACCACGTGACGCGGTAACTGACCCCAGATCGCGGACACCGCGAATTCGCGTTTCACGATGCGATAAACACACGGGAATTCGCTACGAGCTTCCCTGTCACGGGAAAGGATTCCGCAAGTTGCGGAATCCTTTCCCGTGACAGCGTGCAACTGTGCAATCGACTGCGTCCGCAAGTTGCGGACGCAGTCGATTAGCGTTTTACCTTGAGAAGGACCCGCGGAGACCCGCCGAGAACTCGGATTTGACTGGAACGAATACCGAAGGTCGCGGACGCAGCAGATTCAAGTTCTGCGCTGCAATAAACACGCGGGAACCAACTACACACCTGATTGTGACGGGAACCGATATCGCGCGCGCACGTCGCGGACATAAACGCGGGAATCCGCTACAAACTCTCGTCGTGACGGGAACGGATGCCGCAGATCGCGGACGCAGCAGATTCGCATTACACGATGCATTAACACGCGGGAACAACTCGCGTGTTACGGGAGCCGATATCGCGCGCTCAGATCGCGGATAAAAACGTGGCAACCCGCCATCACGGTGTAGGAAGTCCTACACCGTTCCCGCTATGAACTCACTTATCAGAGACGTACCGGTACAGCAGATCGCGCGGCGGATACTATTCCCGTCGGACATCGCGTGACGTCCAATGTTTGTTCAATATTCAGCCAGAAAAACAGGATGGGCGATCTTTCGGGGACGGGCGTTCTCTCAGAACTTTACGGTACTCATTTCCTGTTCCCCACCAGCATCGCAAGAAGGCTCACAAGATGATTATTTTGACCACTGATTCCGAAATAAAGTAATTTTGTTTAGCTACCACGCAATAGCAAAGAAGGCACTCAAGTCCTAGCTCAAAAAGTGTCTTGAGGCATACATATTGCAATATTTATTAATTGTTTCCTCTGTGTGAGTGCATCTAAAGTCACTGGGCCCTGGGGAATAGCACCAAGGTCTCCATATGGTTGCCATTTCGGTCCATGGGATGAGCAGTTGGTGAGCCAATACAAATTCGTGGCGACTGCTTGTGTATAGATTTTGTTAACCAACACACCGGCCAAACAAATGCACATTCGCACCACTTCCACATGCAGCGCGTCGATGCTTCATGGCACTAAATAATAATTTTTCTGCCATGAAACACACGCAAAGAACATCAATGTAAGGGATCTCTGGAGGTAAACAATATTTGCAAGTTGTCTACATATGGAGTGCCAAAGAAACTTATATTGGTGAGGAACGCTTTAAGTACCATGACGCTCAATCGCAATCTTGGCGCGGCTGGTATGGAACGGCTCCTTCGAAGCTTGGAAGATTGAAAGGATCACATTGGCGATTGCCATGACAGCAAATAATGTAAAGCCAATTGCCTCGTGAGGTTTCTGTCATATGTACTGTTTGTATCCTGCTAGCAGGCAGGGAAGGCAGTGACACGAATTTCTCAGAATTTAGTGACACTATCCAAGCATTTGAAAAGGGGTCTTATGGGAGTTTGGCTTGACCCGCATATATTCAAGGTAACAAAGGACCATAAATGAGCTGCTTGTTGTACCTCAACATGTTTATACACATGCGATTGCACTTTTACTGCCATAGCTGCGTCTCGCAAGAAACTGAAGCGTTGAATGCGGCCAAACGTCTTTATAATGAACTCTGCGGGACCGGCAAAAGCTTTTCTCGTACAAGTTCCTCTGGTGCGAGGGTCAAGCGCGAAAAATCAGAACACGTGAAGTTGACTCCGAACCGTCAAGTAGCTCCGCTCCTGCGTGACCTAGGGGCCAGTTTTGTATGGTACCTTTTCTCTCGCTTAGCTCGCGGCATCCCGGCAAAGAATAAGCTGTCAGCCCAGCCAAAACACGCCAGTCATACTGCTGACTGCGCATCTAGACCCACATGGAAGCGGGCAGATAAAGCGAGACACGGATATTATGTTTGACCTTGGGAAAGATCCATAAGCGCCAACTACGGGGGGGCAGTGGGGCTCGTGCCCCCCCCGGACGGCTTCACGGGGGGGCAGAGCCCCCCCCCGGCCCCGGCCCGGGATTTTTTTTAAAGAGCTTGGCTTGGGTCTGCGCCCATCGACAGTGGACTGTTGGCCGTCCTGACTGGCAGCTATTTCACAGGGGCCTGTTTATTCCCGCTTCTTATTTCCTTTCAGGCTTTTAAATGGTGGATCTCGGGACAGTGACAGGTCAGACATTCAGTGGAAAATTCCCCTCAGACGGAGTTAGATGCGCGGAATATGTTGTCTGAATGAACAGCTGAAGTGCCCGCTTCAGCTATGACAGGCTAAAAAAAGTCTTGAAAGCGTCGCGACATCTCTGTCGGTTTTTAGACAACAAAAATGCTTCTGAGAATAGGAAGCATCCCCGACACAGTGAGTCAGTGACTGATTCTGCAGACCTGCTCGCCAAGAAAAAAATTTTAATTTCTTGCGCGTCTACAAATGAATGCCCTTTCGGCCAAGAAAATATTGTACACATTTTTGATTGGTCAGTGAAGGGCTTTACTACCAGTCTTGTCACCGAACAGCGACTCGAATACTCGTCCAGAAAACAACTTTTGGCGGAAAAATTTGTAACCCCAGCTTCGCACAAGGTATAGTGGTATCAAATGGTCTTTGCTACCGTCTGAGAATTATTTTTGGCCCTCTTAAAATTGAAGTCAGTCGTATAATTAAAGCTTCTTGTGCCACCATTACCCCACTCTCCCCTGCTGCATGTGTTAACAAAATAAACAAAACATGACAATAAAATACACACCAGAAGCCAAATAACAGCATCGCAAAACACAACAAAAACAAAGGGACACTGCTTTGAAACAAAAGCCTGTGGGGAAGAGAGCGATTGGGCCTTCGGAGTCTCTACGAAGGCCAACTTTGGGGAAAGAATAATCATCATGCCCGATACGTGTTCCTTTTGTCATTTTTAAAACGTTTGTATGGACAGTGCGGCGCTAGGCGGCACAATCCGCTCCCCTTTTCCGTTTTATTCTGAATAGGCTTCACGAACATTCCCAGGGAAGGCATTCATACATATACGCCGCAAACAGTCAGTAGAATAGCAAGTGCTTGATCACTTCCTTTGAGGCAAGGTCACCGGAGCTTAATACCTGTGGAAACTATTTTATATTAACTCCCTGGGTTGAGGCTTATTTGACAAAGAGACGGAAGCAACTGAAGGATCGTGATTGGAGTCCCGGAATAACGAGCGGGGCCAAGCGAAGTTCAATTGAAACTTAAACCGTGAGCCGACACGAACACCGCAAATGGAAACCTAAACTCAGAACCCATTGACATTCTTGAAACGTAAGCCGTTCTCATAGGAAGTCGACTCGCCCAGTTCCGACTCGGCTAAGAACGTGACAGTTCGTCCGGTATCCTGTGTAAAAATTAAGACGAATGGCTCTCCGATGGGTCCCTGCTGTAACCAAAATATTAAAATATTTTGGTTACAGCAGATTCATTTTCTCCTGTTCACCATTTTTAAAATTAACACTTTTGGTGCGCGTGCGTATCCACTCGGGGAGTTTGGTACTATATGGGCATCTCAAAATACACTTTACACACAAAATGGCCCGCAAAATTTAGATCCTTGGTGCAACAAGTAGGAATATTCCTGAAATACGTGTTTTACTGGTCACATTTATGCAACAAAATTTTAGACCCGAACTACCCCTGCAGAAAAAAAAAAGATTCGCTTTTTTGTACTGGTAGTTTAGTCTTGCAATATGTTTGCATAAATGTGGCCAGTAAAACACGTATTCAGAGAAATTTCTACTGGATGCGTCAAACCGCTGAAGTTTCGGGGTCATTCTTTCGCGGAGCGTCTTATTTGGGGACACCAGGTAGTTAGCTGTCACAATGTCCGTGTCCGTTTGTTTATGTCCTTGTCCCTTTTTCTCCAGTCTCGGGTTTACCAAAATGCTCGGTAAAGGCTCCGACTGCTGCAGGTGACCCTTATGGGGAGAACCCACGGAACAAATGCGGAGGGCAAGTTCGTCTGCTCCTTGCGCAGGGGGTAGCGGTGACGTCAGAACGCCGAGCCCTGATTGGCTGATCGCGACCCCCTATCTGAGCGTCGTCTGCTCGCAACGTCGTCTGCGTCTATCTTACCTTTCCTGCGACTTTCGGAAGTGCAGAGGCCAGATTCACGAAACGATCTTACGCCAAAATGTGCGTAAGACATAACTTAAGAACAAATTCGTATTCACGAAACGAAATTTTCGTAAGTTCTGCGCAGGTTACGACGAAATCCTACGACAGCTCTGAAGCTGTCTAAAGCGCGCAACACATGTACGACGAAACCGTCCGATCCGACGTGCGGACTGCCGGAATGACCTTGGTGGGCGAGGGTTTTCGTAGCATCGGAGAGCGTTGAAAACCCTCGCCTCCGACCGTCGTATTGCGTGGTCGGACGTCGGATCGGACGGTTTCGTCGTACATGTGTTTCGCACTTTACGCGCTTCTTACGATCAAATCAGCATGGCCGACAGCGATGCGGTCGTGACGACCCACGGACGTTTATTTTTCTACATGCGCTTCTCACGCGTCCCAACTTCAAGCAGCAAGAAAAAAGTAAAAAGTACTTGAAACAGACCACGACGAACGAGAACGATGGATCCAAAAACACCCGAAAAAAGCTCCAACGGCCAGGTTTCCACCGAACGCGACCAAGCGAGCACAGCAGTTAGGCCTAGCAGGCACTCCGCGACTCGGCGACCGTCTGCCCACGACCGGCTGGCGTGCTGAATGGAGTATGCCCGCGCGACCCTTGTGAACCCTTCCCGTATTATACTTTGATCGCTGACCTCAGTTTAGATTAAGAGGTCAATTTCTTCCTTTTGTTATATCCTTGTTTCCCGAGGCAACGGTGACTCTCGCCGGTGAAAAAGCGGTGAATCTCCGACAGACGCAGGAAAAGTAAAGCAGCCATCGCTTTGACTAGCAGACGTAAAGCAGACGACGTTAACTGCGCCAACCCGCCGACGCCGTTAAAGAATGAGGGGTCTCGCCGCACACGAAAGGAGGGAAAAAGTATTTGGGAGGGAACTTGCGGACACTAACACGCTCACCTCTCGGTTCTTAGCAAACAAACCTCGGCGCCTCGGGACACCTCGCCAGTGAGTCCTTTGACTTCCCTCCTTGATGCGCGTCTGCTAGTTATTAGACAAAAACAACGTACCGCTCGAGTTATTTCGTCTGCCCTCTCTGAAAGGCCAAGTCGAGCTCGCTCGACTTCCGAAAGTTGCAGGAAAGGTAAGACAAACGTAGACGACGTTGCGAGCAGACGACGTTGCAAAGGAGCAGACGACGCTGAGATAGGGGGTCGCGATCAGCCAATCAGGGCTCGGCATTCTGACGTCACCGCTACTTCCTTTCTCATGCGCAGAAGACGCAAATGAGCCCACTTGCGAGGCGTATAAAACAAGGACCTTCTCCTCCTCTCCCCCCCCCCCCCCCCCCCGCAGCCTCCCCCCCCCCTTTTTTTTTGAGCCACATTCCGGGTCTGCCCCCCCCGGGAAAATGGAAACTCTACGCCGCTGGAAAGATCTGTGCCTTTGTCAAACAGTTGCTCAGACAGCAAAGAGCAGTTCTATAGTCAGTCTAGCCACAACCGACGAGCCAATCAGTGTGTCGAAGGGATACTACACATGACTCTGTCCGACTAGTTCCCAAAGAGTGCTGCCGAAGCCATGGAAGGAAGAGGAAAGCCACTTACGGGCGAATTTTGAGTGTAACAAGGGTAACAAAGCAAGGTCTGGGATCCACAAGAGGGTTTTCGTCATTCTTGTCCAGCTTGTTTGCACCTTTGCATTTAATTGCATTACAATTATAGGAGTTCCTCTTCCCTTTTCTCCAGCTGCTCGCTCTAGCCTCTGCAACTTTGGCCGATTAGATCCAAGGGGTGTTTGCTCTTTGCCAAGTTACAGCAAAACAGTATATAACCTCATTAGGTCTGATTACATCAGACATTTGGTTATAACACTGCAGTGATTTGTGAAGCTTGGTTGGTCTTCCTATCTATGCCTTGGAAAAGTCGAATTCCAAACGTACATACCTGAAACTGGTCATGTGAATGTCATCCAATTTTTCGAAGCTCAACTAGGGGGTGGTGAAATATTAAAAATAAAGCGAAACTGACGGCCGCGTATTCTCACTGTCCTACACCAGCTTGCTCGTCGCTTGCTCACTGGTTTGCGAGCTTGCTGCCGGGTTGATTCCTGGACGCAAATGCTGACAATGCCTAGTAATGGCTGGCAAACAGGATAATCGCGATCAGTAATATATTTTATTGAAATATGAACGATGGCCATCTGGGAGCAAGCTTGCAAACCAGTGTGCAATATTATATAACGTTACATATTGGAACAAGTAGTTGAAATATGCAGGTCGGCAAATGATGGCTGCTAGAGCGCGAGGTAGAGTATACTCGACACTGCTGCCAGTGCAAAGTTTGCACGCTTTCGGCCGAGCGAACGAAATTCTTCAAGACGCGTCACTGCGAACACTCGACAACGCAACTTTGTGATGGTCCAGCCGGCAAAGAAAGCCTTGCCACAGAAACAGCCCAAAGGCGAATTCCAAGGACTAGAACACTCTGCACACGACAAACATCCGGTGTAGGACATAGAAAATGCGTGGCCGTTGTTTTTGCGCTATATTTCGCAAACCCTTAGTTTAGCCCTAAAAAAAATTGAGGGCCCTTCCACCCCGTGAAGATGAAAGTCCAGCGAAGCTGGCGCTCTGGTGGGATTTGCTGTGTCGGGCTGGGTAGCAGTGGCGGTTTCATGTTGGCGGCGTGCCCCTATGGCGTGCCCATTCTGGCTTCTGGGCGCGCGGATGCTCCCCGTACTTCCACCCCAACTGATAAGGATAAAAGTGCGATTTTTGGCAGGTGGCCACCAAAGAGCGCGCGGCATTGCCTAATGTTAAGGGGGAGAGAAATGCCGCGGGTGGGGAAGGTACGCGCGTGTAGCAGCGCAGTCTGCAGCATTAACTGTACAAAACTGTTGGTCTACGTTCAGTGTGAACAAGAGGACGAACTGCCAGGACCTAGCCATAGACAGCTTCGCTGTAAAGAACAGACCTAAAGCTTTTTGTGAAACTGTGTTTGCGTGTTTCAGGTATGTAGTACTAGAATTGTTCCAAGGCACGCAAATGTGCCGGTCCTGACAACCTCCCCCATACACGTGGATAAATAGTGGACCCTTCGACAGCAGTCATTATTTCGGACATTATGTGGCTTTGGTTCAGTAGCAACGATATCCACTTTGCAAAGCCTCGTATGACCCAAAGAGCACAGCGATGACGATCGTCGATATAGCTTAATAAAAAAATTACCAACTTTTAAAGTTTGCAAGTTTCAGTGAACCTCTTCTTTTCTAATATCCATTCAAAACTCAACAGGCTTACTCGTTAAAACAGACTCCAGTCATAAACCATGTCAGTCTGTAGTAAAAGTGTCTGCATTCTGCACACTCCTTTTACAACAGACCAAAATCTTCATCATTATCAAGGTCTGTGATAACGAGTTTACACCATAAAAAAGCTGCTAGCAAAAACAAAATAGTGTAAAACAAAAGGACTACTTTTATTCGAGTCTAGGTACTCCAAGACCACTCGCGTGAACGAAATAACATGCGCAGCGGTTTCTTCTCGCTACATCTCCTTGCTCCCACATGCACAATCAGGTTTACATTTACTCAGATCCTACTTTTTCTTGTTTCTTCGCAATCCGTCACAAAAATTGTAGTAACTGGGTTCTAGTAAGACCGCTTTCAGCAGGATGCACAAACCACAGAAGGCCACAGTCCTTCGCAGGAAGGACAAGAGCAGCAAATTCTTTAGCCACGTTTCCTATAAAAAGTGTAATATAATAGGGCTGGTTTCACAACTCCCATGTAAAGACAAAACAACTTCATTTGACACGTTGTCTGAGCACACACGTTTGCTAATCACACTTTTTGTTTGCCTTTCAGATTCTAACAACAGAGACGAAGTCGCTTAAATAAACATTTATTTCATGTCGTCGTCCAAAGGGGCTGGTCTCACTCTTTCGCAAGCTGGGGAATGCACCAGAAGGAAATCCATGCTCCACATACAACTGAGGCGTGCACACAAGGTCTGTCGGGGCGAACAAAGTGACTAGGGCCATTCTTGGGAGCACCACAGCCCGGCCCCACGTCTGCGTTTTCAGGCACATTTGAGCAGCAAGGTCCGAGGCCTTCTGCCAGAAAACCTTGCCACAATCGGGTACGCGTGCGAGGGTTATGCAGGCCCGAGACACCTTATTGCAACCGCACGCAGTGCGTTTTGATTCTAGGCGAACGGCAACGTGTGCAAAAGCCCAATGTCAAATTGAGTACAGTTTAAGCAACTAAGCCTAGCTTATTGACGAGCACAATATGTATATTTCCTCTTCAGATTGCAAAGATTGACCTAGCCAAACAATAGACAATATTCGTATTTACACATACCGCCACAGAAGCAGGCAGAAGCCACTCGACATATATTAGAAGGACCTGCCACAGATAAAAACATTGTCACTCGAGCACACAGCTGGACCTCAATCCAACACGTCGCCATAACACGCGCTTTGCAATGCTGGAAAGCGGGTGTCCGTGCAACGAACTTGCAGTGGCACGCAAACGGTGCATTTAAAATGAGGTGTTCTAATGTCCATTTCCAGCTCGCTTTTCGTACAGAGCACGCCAAAACAGAAAAGTCTGACTTATGCAAAGATCATTACTCCAAAGTCCGCCACCATTCCATTTCTCTAAAACATACATCAGGGCTACAGACGAGTGGCTATCGCAAGGTAACGCGCTCGTTAAGAAACGTTCTGCGAAACGGCGACAAGCCTCCGCTTCCCCTCATTATCGCAACAATGTTCACATCGCAAAACAACAAGATGGATATCTACAATAGCTCAAGTGTCCACGAGTCATCCGTACAAAAAGATTCGTCACAGACCGTGCCCAGAGGTCACGGGCACACGACGACAGTTTCCGCCTGGACGTAGCTACGTTTCGTAAGGTGTAATTGACCTCGATCACCGGCAGTCGAAATATCCGTAATTGTCGGACACTTTGCTCCGAACTGGACTGGCGAAAACCATCGCTCGATCTTAACTTTAATGTCGACCAGGGTCCATGTTGATTTCTAGCAGTTCCAGGCGACAACTTGCCTGTCGTCACTGTTGCGAGGCTTCCGCGGCGCTTTCCAACGTTAATGACAGCTGCAACAAGCAGGCGTCTTCTGCAGTTTTGAGGCCGTCGGCGAGCGTCCAGCCCTTGTTAGCCTCGCGTTCGTTGTACCCTTTCATCTCGTATGAGAGACGATGACGGGCAACAACGGAGTCCAGGGCAGTGGCTCGGTTCGGATGAGCAGTCCGGCAACCCGACTGGTTCGCTGTACGTGGCACGCGAGGAGTCAAACGCCAAAAGGCCGGCCCGACGCCGGAACCTGTCCCTTGACGTGCCGGAACCCGTCCCTCGACGTGCCAGAACCCGTCCCTCGACGTGCCGGAACCCGTCCCTCGACTCGCCGGAACCCGTCCCTCGACTCGCCGGAACCCGTCCTGCGGCAGGACAGCATGTTCCAAGCGTCCTAGGAGAGCACGCTGTGGAGGCCAGGGTCGTAGGAGGAGCTCGGCCGGGTGGGCCTCACGGCCACCTCCTCCTCGACGCTGCTGCTGCCGCTCTCCGTGTCGCGGTTCAGCGAGTGGGCTGTGCTCACGTGCGTCGGTAATGAGTGGCTCGCCCCGTCCTCGCAGTGGAAGGTGGCAGTTGCCACTGTTATCTGGCCAGTGGGCGGGGGGGCCTGCCGCGGGAGCTCCCGGGGCGGGGGGCTGTCGAAGGTGCCTCCGCCACCGCCCCCGCCCCCTCCGGACAGCAGCGGCGTGCGCTCGGAGTGGGGGGCGTCGGCCTCCGACTCGGAGTCAGAGTCCGGGTCCATCCCGGGCAGGACCACCTTGCGCTTGCAGATGGGGCACGTACGCCGGTTCTCCAGCAGCCACGGCTCTATGCACTTGCAGTGGTAAGCTGCGGAAAGCAGAGAGCAGAGAGGTGCATTAGGGGACTGCCGTGAAAGCACGAAAACCTAAATTCAAAGGAGGGGTCGTAGGAGGAGCTTGCTTCGTTTTATTTTATAATAGAGTACGATGGATGCTACGAGTCGGCGGAGCCGATTTAAATCAAGTTTGGCGGTTCTACGTGCCAAACTAACGAAGGGCATATGCATACCTGTCAAATTCAGAGAAACCAAATCCGAGAGAATTTCAAGCAGGGGGGAACTAATTTGCAGGAAGACAACGTCATTACGCTTATACTGCACCGTTCATGCTAGCGACATATAGCTTTGCCTCGCTATCAATGAAAGGCGTCTTTTGCGACGGCGAAAACTCCTTGTTTAAGTGCAGGAGGGAGTAAAGGGGGGGGGAGGTATAATTTGCATTTTCTGGAAGATTTTTCAGTCAATCGTACAACTGCACTAACTGATCGAAATTCGGGAGTCTCCCAGAGTAATAGAGGACACCTGGCAGATATCCATCTGGCACACCCCGGCAAATGACTGAGGATTAGTTTGGACCACCTGGGGATCTCTGGACATGCAATCAAAATCTCGGTTACTCCCTTCTCCGCAATGAAGGCTTGTTCACACAGACCCGTTTTCTTACGTTACGTTACAAAAACCCACCGGGAAATCTATGCTTCGCATCAAGCATGGCTACCAATTCGAGACACAAATGTTTTAGCGCCTTAGACATAACCTAAGAAAATGATGCTGTGTGAAAAGTTGAACCGAGCTCAACTCCTTGAGCTACCTTACGATCAGGCTTGTGCCCTTGGTTGCCACGCTAACTCACCATCCTAGCTCGTTGCCACCGACACATTCGTGTCTTGAATGTTGTGTGCCAGGCTATCTCCTTGAATTGGTAGCCACGCTTAATGCGAAGCACAGATTTCCTGGCGACTTTTCGCAACGTAACGTTAAGAAAATGGGTCTGTTTGAATGAGCCTTAGGCCACCGTCAGATTGCGCGTACCTCGGCTGGAATTCGAACCCGCCCGGGGGCCGGGATTCGGACCCATCACCTGGGGCTGGGATTTGAACCCACCACCTAAGGATTCGTAGGCCGGCGCTTTGCCCAGGAGCCAATCCGATGCCGCGCAAATGTAACGCGACCTTCAGGAGGGATGTTTGGGGAGCGTGGTCACGTCCTACTTTCACGGCACTGGATTGGCCGAAATGGCTCGTAGCAACTCCTGCGGTCAACCGTAAGGTGAAACAGAGGGCAGTTTGATCGTTCATATCCATTCTACGGATAAAAAAATGGGTCCCGGGATAGCCAAAAAAACACGCTTTTCGTGTAAGGCTCGTCAAATTACGAGGCGTGGGCATAGCCAGCCTTCCGCGTTACGTCCTCATTTTTGTTTGCGTTCTGCCCATTGAAAAGCATGCGGGAAGCGCCTCAGCACGCACCTCGTATCGCTGCACTGCAGTGTTCTTCCACAACAAAAAGGCCGTCTGCTTTCATTGCCGTCACCATGGCAATGAACGCTGAATTACCTTTTCGAACGGCACATTCCCTGCCCGCATTCTCCGTCTGCGTTCACGCCACTTTGCGGCGACAGTCTGCGGCTGCTCATTACGAAACTATTAAACTTTGGCCAGCAGACGGCGTTCAGGAAATCTGTGTTCGTTGCCATGGTGACAGCTATGAAAGCGGATGGCCTTTATGCTGCGGAAGAACGCTGCGGCACAGCAATACGAGGTGCGTGCTGAGGCCCTTCTTACGTGCTTTTCAATGGGTGGAAGGCGAATAAAAAGAGTTTGAAATAAGGACTTAACGCAAAAGGCTGGTTTTCTCCAGTGCCTCATAATTGGAGAAGCCTTACATGAAAAGCATAGTTTTAGACCAGAGTTACATGAAAAGCATGTTTTTAGACCAGAGTTTGGAGATTTTTTTCTACAACATGGGTCTTGAAGGGGCAATGCAACAATATTAACTTCAAAAGAATTTGCAGTTTTAAAGTTTTACATTGTTTATTTTACCAAAAGCAATGGAGAAACAACCTCATTCTTTTGAAATATTGTGATTTCGTTGCGTAATAGCATATAAAAGAACGGGAATATTTCGCGATTTGCAGCCGCGCAGTGGCGGCCATGGGAACAAAGGCGTGACGCACAATGGGTATAAAGTAATAGGTTGGCAAGATGTGCCATTATGGGCTCAATCTAATGCCATATTTGATAAATATTGTCGCTTCAACGTGAGTAAATACGTCAAAAACCTCATGTAATCGACAAAATTGTACCACATTCAGTTTTAGTGGCGCCATCTGCCCGAGGTGAATGAAACTATTCCTCCCTTGGGCCTCACCTCATTGTGCTACCATATCAGTTGAACTTCCTCAGAAAAAAGCGAGCTCTTTGCTCTCCCCATCTCCTCATCGCTCAGGCCAACCTTCAAGGTCGCCATGTGAATCACAAGCAGAAGCCGCTCGCGCTGGAGGCTCTGCAAAAGAACCCAACCGGTCTTTTCCTATCCCCATTGCGTGTCACTGCGCACAAGACTCAGAAGACGGTGTACGAGTTGAGGGTGAGTTGGAGGTGCCCAAAATGTCAATCGTTTGACATATTTTTTTCTAAAGAACTAACGCGCGTGGGCAAAATTTGTTTTCAGTTTTTTAATCCAGACGTGACGGGGAACAACTACCAGAATTATTTGACCGAAGTCCAAACAATGTTGCACAGCCCCTTTAAGTATCAATGTGCAAAACAAAGTACCGTAATTACTCACATAATTAAGACACTTTTTTTCCCAAAAAATTTAAACATATTTGGGGGGTTCATTACGCGGGCTAAAATTTTCGCATTTGCACACTTCGTTCAAATGTCATATTGGCTACTGTGGCACGTCTCCACTGACGGAGGCGCACCCGCGGCTGGTTGGGGGCACGCCAGAGTAAACATGCTTCATAAATTGCGAACCTTTTTAGGGCGCCTTCGGCGTGCCTTTTGCCAAAGGAAAAGCGCCCTATGAAGCTCACTCAGCACAGAGCAAAGTGACCGTTCTTAGGCCTAACCAGTTTCACGATTTCACTCTCTGCAAGCGGACCACAGACGACGGCGTGTTTGTCGACATCAATGCATCTAATAGGCGAAGAATGTCCGGGGCTGGGCAATTTCTCGACCCCAGCTTTGTTAGGTGTGTGCGCCGCTCGGTTTCACCGTTGATCATTTCCGCAACTACGCACTTGCAGCCATTACAAGAGCGGCTTGGCTTGGCTTAGCTTGGTCTGACCGTTTGGCAGCAAAAGAAAATTGGCTTGGTGACTTAGCTAAATTGGTAGCAATTCGAGATTCGCGGACCCAAATATTGGTGGTGCGTTCATTACGCGAGGGAAAAAAAAAAGAGTCCAAATGTTAGTACCTGCTATGAGGGGGTGTGTTCATTATGCGAGCGCGTTTATAATGCGAGTAAACACGGTTTAGTGGACCAAACGCGGAAAAAAAATACTGTAAAACCCTTAATGTTCGCGAGCCCTCAATTTTCGTGAATTTCACGAATTGAAGAATTTGCGAAATTTAAGGGCGCGCAAAAATTTCAGTTCTTAAGATTTTCAATGCAGGCATCTGGAATTCGCGAAATTTAGTGGTCGCGACTATGTCACCTGCGACCGATTCGCGAAAAATGGGGGCCGCCAAAATAAAGGGTTTCACAGTATTCAAATATTGCTGGGCATCAGTTTTCTACAGTTGTCACTTCCTTAGTATGATTTTGTTTTGAGAGGATGACAGCAAAAGTAAATGAAAAAAGCTAATTTCACGCACACAAACTAAGAAGCTCCGAGACGGAGAACTATCAACCCTACTCACTCGGCGTGCATGGTTTGGCTTATATAGCTTTGTAAAACCGCTACCGTAAAATCCCGAGATGCCCCACTCCCGAAAGGTGGCCCACCCCTACGTTGTGTTTGATTTTATATATTTTTTTAAACACTGAAAGATAGCCCCTTCTAGTAATAGTAGCGCTGGGATCCATGATGGCCTCGGCGCGTAAATGCGGCTAGTTAGCTGCGGCGGGATATACCCGATCATTGATGACTGGGAAGCAGTCATCTTTACTTCGTTGCCCCTCGCCCCGATAACAAGCTTAAAAGGAAAGCATGACCTAAAAATATAATGGTTTCAACTTTTCTTGATTGCACACTAAAAGTTAGCCCACCACATATTTTCACTTGATTTTTTCTTGATTTTAGGTGGGCTATCTCTCAAGATTTTACGGTAGTATAAATAAAAAAAAAAAAAAAATGAAAGCCATTTACAACTTCTTGTAATGCCAGATTCGAGCACAGCTCTGGAGGAGGAGGATAGAAGCGTACTGAGGGATAGGTGACTCCTTGAGGTCACGTGACCTCAGGGGGGGTCGTGTCATGTCAGGGGGGTTACGTGACTTCGGGGGTCACATAACCTCGGGGGTCGCGTGACCCGGGGGAAGTCAAATGCTTCAGGAGGTCACGTAACCTAGGGGGGCGGGGGTCATGTGACCTTGCGGTAATGCCGACGGTGACGCCGCCCAAGCCGGGAACGGGCCCCTAAGAGCTGCGCTCCAAAAGGTCGATCAATCGGCTTGCACGGTTTCGTCTACTGTATTTACTGGCATAATGAACGCACCCACCACAATGGGTACCAATATTTGGATTTTTTTCCCCCTTGTGTAATGAACGCACCACCAATATTTGGCTTCACGAGTCTCGAATTATGTCCAATCTAGCTAGTCATCAAGCCAATTTTCTTTTGCCGCCAAACGGTCAGGTCAGGCCAAGCTAAGCCAAGCCAAGCCACTCTCATAATGGCTGCAGTGCGTAGTTGCGGAAGTGATCAACCGTGAAACCGAGTGGCGCACACACTTGGCCAAGCTTGGGTCGAGGAATTGCCAAGCCTCGGACATCCTTCGCCTACTGGATGCATTGATGTCAACGAACACGCCGTCGTCTATGGTTCACTTTCGAACAGTGAAATCGTGGACTATGAACGGTTGCGGTGCTCTATGCGCCGAGCTAGCGTCGTAGGGCAACTTTTCTTTAGCAAAAGGCATGCCGAAAGTGCCTTAAAAAGGTTTGCAATTTATAAAGCATGGATACTGTGGCGTGCCCATGACCAGCCGTGAATGCACCCCCGCCACTGGAGATGTGCCGCAGTATCGAGTCGTGTCATATTGGAAGCCAAAATGACATTTGAGCAAAGTGTGCAAGTGCAAAAATTTTACCCCACGTAATGAATGCAGTCCCCAAATATCTGTTAATTTTTCGGGAAAAAAAGTGCTCTCATTATGCCAGTAAATATAGTAGCTTAGGTTTTGAGAAAAAGAAACAAACTTCTGGCACAACGTTCAAGAAAAATCCTCACATTTCGGCAAAATCTAGCAGAATGCAGCAGGACGAGCCCCTTGGCACTAATGGCACAACAATTGCATCACGCGGATGAAAATGCGGATGTCAAGATCGTCGTCCACATTTTCGCACTGCTCGCCTTGTGCCTGCAGCACGAGCAGTAACTTTAGCGCATCAACTCCGCTTCCCACGTGCTTCAAGCATGTTCCCTCAGCCATATCACTCAGCCGCAGAGACCGCATTGTGTAGCTACTTTCAGAAAACAACCTGTAGACTTAAAGGGATACTACAACGAAATTTCGGCGCTCATTTTTTGGTCTATATGTGTTCAAAAGAGCAGTATCACATGGAACATACCAATATCTTGTTAAAAAAGTCTCGAAAAGGAATTTTAAAACAAATTAAACGATTAGCAAAGAGCACCTGGTGGATGTCGCAAACGCCTCGTTTGTAATGCTCGTCTAGGAACCTTGACAGCTAGTGACGGAGGTTGTCTCGTCTCCGGCCACGACGAGAGAAGGGGGGAAGGAGGAACTCCCCTCTTCCCGAGAATCCCTTTTGTGTGTCGCAGAAGTCGCTATTGTCCCCCTACAAGATTATAGAAGATTAACCCGTCACTCAAAATTCGTACAAAAGCAGCCGCTTCGGTGGCTGGAACGACTAGGCCATCCTCTCAACGTCAGCCTCGCCGTAGCTTTGCTCATCTTGAGACAACCTACGTCACGACTGCGTTGGATGTCACGTGCTCTAAGCTGGGCCTTCTCCGAGCGCTTGCCAGAGTGGGCCGTTTACAACGAAAAATACAGCCACCAGGCTCAAAATACAAGCGTGCGATTGTCATTTACAGATATTGTGGATCATATTCAACCTATTTTTGAACACGACGGGAATATTTCAAATTTCGTTGAAGTATCCCTTTAAAAAACATTCCGTTTATGAAGCCAAGATGGTCGAGCGTGTTTAACGAACCTGCCGCTTTTCTCGGAGAAAACGGCTGATAAAACACATTCTGCGTTAAAACTCAATTCACGATTGGCCGCCGCCATAGGGTTAGTACAATAATTTAGAGGTAAAAATTTGGTGCCTTTCGGCCGCTTCCGAATGGCGGGGCCTAACGCGGCGGCATTCCCGACGGGACCATATGGCCGGTGTGCTTCGATATACACAAAGCGGAAAAACAAAGCTTCCAAGCTCCCTACCTAGCGTTTTCCTAGCTTCAACTCGCCCCAAAACGCCGGTGCCGTACATGGTACGGCAATAAATAAATTTGACGAGCACTCGAACGAATTCAACTCCTAGCGGCAAAAGGACCTCGCCTAACCTTTTGTCCGCTTTCCTCTCCTGCCCTTCCGTCACCCTCGTCCTCCCAGGATCGCCGACGTCGCGCCCGCAGTTTACCGTGCTCCGCTCCCGATTTTACCCCTTCCTCCGGCCGCTGTGTGTGCGAGCCCCCACTCACCGTGCGAGCAGGGCAGCGTGCGCAGCTTGTCCCCCTCCACAAAGTCCTCGATGCAGATGGCGCACGTCTCGTAGGGGGCGCCCTTCTTGAACTTGGTCACGGGCAGCTTCCTCAAGTGCCTGCGGGAGAGGCGGGAGCGCCTCTTCCTGCGCCAGTCCCGGAAGTAGCGCCACATCTGCAACAAGAAGAGCTACCTGGGTTTGGCGACTGACCCGCGGCACACCTTGCCCAAAGTCGCCACGCACGGCGGCTCTGGCCACTGGAGTAAAGACGCTTCGGTGCTGTCGCCCACTACGACTGGTTGGAAAGGATTGCGCGTGAGACGACCGGCTGCGCCGAGGATTCCCGAACGCTTTCAGACCTGCCTCCTTCCTGCATTTCTGATGCATAAAGCGTGCGGCAGACTGTGCCTTTTCGACGCATAAACTCCCTGGTGGACTTCGTGAATTCCCTCAACTAAAGTTTGCGGTGGGCTCCCGCCTTTCCAACGCATTAAGGGGAGACATGGGTCTTCGGAGCAAAAATATTTATAAAACAAATGGTGATATCGAAATCTAAAGCTGTTTCTCTTTTGATCTGCCAAGTTTTTTATTTTGAAGATTAATATTTGAGCCATAATATCGCTTTATAATATCTATATAGGCTGAAATTGCACTGAAGCTGACGCTAATATAACGCTTCCTCAAAACATATATTCTGGACTCCTAACAAATTTCAGAAGGGATATCTCAGCATTTAGGACAGACAGAAGATAAGTTTTTTAGCACCATGTAGCTACATGTGCAAAGCATGCAATGTTGGAAGCAGAATTTTCATATATATGTAGGAAAAGTTTGAACCGAAATAATGTTTTATTGCTTGGTAGCCACACACAAAGCACTGAACTTCAATGCATTGTAAGGTCACTAATAATGGTTCAATCTAAAAAGTGCTTTCCAACATTGCATTCTTCATAATTCGTAGTATCTCATAAGAAGTGTGTTCGCTAAATCAAACACACTTCTTATCTTTTATCTATACTGACCCGCAGCACTGCGCGAAGTGAAGCCCCCACCCTGCTTGCATTCCATTAATTCAATATCGTGTTTGCGCATAAAGTTATCCTGCAATCATATAGGCACATTCAAACATACAAACTTGTGTGAAGAATGTCGCACCGTTCGCCGGACGTGCGCCGGACGAGTGTGAACCCCTATGCGGTGCGCCAAACGAACAAAATTATTCAAAGAGCATTTGACGATTGCTAATGGTGATAATATTTGTTGTGTGTTTGCTTTCTTCCTCACTGAGTATGCCAAGATAATTTTAGACACACCGTTCAGCCATAGATCTTGGGCGTCAGTAAATGCTCGTCCAAAAAGGCTTAGCGAGGAGTAAAGGACGCTTGTTAGGGCCTCAGTTGTAGCTAGTCGATTTCAGCGTTTGCAAAAACTTAATCTTCTATCAGCATAATATTTGAGTGGGATATATATGACACAAGGAAGACATCATAGTAATTTTTGTGCAGTAGTGAGGTTGAATTTATTGCGTTTCCTTAAAAGTTCATGCATCAACGCTGGGCTCAACTTTGATACTCTTGTGAGGATGCGGCTTGCTTGTTGTCCAATGAAGTAAAAAGAAGCGGACGTTTGGCAAACAAAATATGTGTAAGGCTCAAGGTGACCAAATTTCTGTTGTAGTTCACTGGTACTAGACGGGATTATTGAAATTGAGCTCAAAGATGCACTCGTGGGGTGATGTGACTAAGCCACGTCTTACGTTTGCATACGCACGCATAATATCCGGTGTTTCGGGAACCAAAAAAAGTGTCCCGGTCTTCGTTTTGTATCGCCTGAGAATGAGTGTATTGTACATTTGTAAAAAGTCAGATAATCGAAAACGCAAGCAGCGCATTCGATCACAGCGTGATAGTATGAAATGAAGCTGCTCAATCGAAACCGAAACTGAGTGGCCAACTAGTTCCCAGAGTGCACTGCGTGGTATTTTGCCGCGATAGGGCGCTTCGATCTTGGAAGAAGTCCATTCCTCCGCTCCGTAGAGCGGAGCGGGCTCACGAAAGCAACCTACCAAAACTCGTTATTGATGCTGGCGGCTATAGCGCCACAGCACGGAGGTATGCAGCTGAGATGAAAAGCGAGCGATCTCACCGGGAGTACGAGACCAAGGTTCTGTCTTCTTGCAGCAGTCACCATACCAACATTTTATAAACTTTTTTTCTCGTGACTTCGAGCTCCGTGACATTGCCGACATCGTCTGGAAGTTCAACGATGACGTGGCCAGTGTGGCAGACAAATGTTTAGCTACGGCAGGTAGAGACCCTCCGAAATATGTGTTCTTACCACTTTACTTCGCTTCTACTTCTTTCAATATTAGTGTTGAACAATAGTAAATAAATGTTTTGCTTCGTTTAACCTCATCCTGGTGCAGGTGTTGCACAATTTTGAGCGAATATGGTATTTTGGTGTTGCTGCAAGTGGAGGGCAAGATCGGTCTACAGTGCGGCTGTCCCTATTCGCACTCCGAGTGCGGATAGTGGTAGATTCTTATCCGCACTCCGAGTGCGGATAATTTTGGATTCTTATCCGCACTCCGAGTGCGGATTGCGTTGGATTCTTATCCGCACTACGAGTGCGTGGGGCGAAGAACTTGGCGTGTGGCGTGGCGCGACTTGGACGCGGGAAACTTTGAACATAGTGACTTACGATGTTCGTGGTGTGACATTGGCATGTTGGCAGCACCGATTTCATAGAAATATTAGTGGTTGTGCGGTGTTTGATTGGGAGGAGACCTGTGTTTCAGAATAAATTCAATTTCAAACAAATGCACAATCGTAAACATATAATTAAAACAGCGCGAACGAACACAAGGACAAGGAGAAAAAGGGACACAGCCACAGCGCTGACTCGCGATTTACTCTCTTTTTTGTCTTCTTAAAGCACATCAACATAAGAAGACGCGAGTCAGCGCTGTGTTTGTGTCCCTTCTTCTACTTGTCCTTGTGTTCGTTTTCGCTGTTTTGATTATATGTTCACTATGCACCTCCGACTAGCTCATTTCTAAACATCACTGCAAATGCATAATCGCTTTTTTTTTTTTTTTTTTTTTTCGAAATTGATTAGCGCTAGATGGTGTATTTGGGTAGAGACTGAACTGTACTCGCGCCTCGGGGGCTTGAAAAAAAGCATGAACACAGGACGTAAGAAATCCTATTGTTCCTTCAGTATCCTTTTTTTTTTTTTTTGTTAAACAAAATATTATTATTTGCAAAAAAAAAAAAATAAACGGAAGCTGGTTTAAGATTTGTATTATAACGCGCCATCGCCACAGTCAGCACATTAACATTGTGTGGTGGATAGGGGCAGTAATGTGGGAACGGCGGGCGGCTAGCAAACAATTTTCAATACACAATTACCCCCCCCCCCCCCCCCGCCCCAGACCACACACACACACACACACGCAGAGATGTTCCAAACTTCAGCTGCCGCCACGCCCCAAAACCCGCAAGCTCAGTGTTCGGCACCCTCGGCATATATGATTAACATCTTCGATCACACAACCACACAAAAACATCTTTGAACAGCCATCACATCTATCGTCGTCTACTTGCAAAAGCGCAAATCTTTCTATTAAAAAAAAAAAAAGCCCGGGGGGGGGGGGGGGGGGGGGGGGGGGGGGGGGGCTTCATTTTTTTAATAATATTGTTTACTGGAAATGACTGATTTTCCTTACTCCCTCCCACCCCCCCCCCCCCCCCCTTTTTCCTAAGCCACTGCCCCATCATCTAAGCACAAGACAAATACACGTCACAAATTGCACACTGCTCTAGTTTCTTTCTTTTTTCTTTAGTCAATAAAAAATAGTTTAACCGTCCAAAAAAAAAAAAAAAAAAATATCGCCAGAACTTTCTTTTTTTGGGGGGGGGGGGGGGGGATTGTTAAAGCTGATGTGTTTGGGAACACAAACACACGCACGCACGCACACGCACTTGATCGCCTCTATCCGATCTTCGAGGCGTGAGTACCGTTTAATCTGAAGCGCACCACCCAATGTTAATATTTTTTTTTTTATAAAACAAAAAACGTTTCCTTGAAATTATTTTAATTCTGAAAACCGGAACCGCCAATATTTCCATACGCTCGTCGAGGCTGCCAACACGCCAA